CGCTCTAGAGCCCGTGCCGCGGGCGGCTGTGCCCCGCATCTGCTCTTAACCCCCCGCCCCCGTGTGCAACGTTTGGTGACATCGCTGCAGCTTTGTCGGTGTTGCTGCAGCTGTCCTTGTCCCCAGCGAAAAACAGAAACCCAGCGGAGCCATCCCCATGCGGTGCGCTAAGCCGCAGCCCTCCTGCAGCCTGGGAAAGGGAAAGGTATTGGGATGTGCAACACCGCTGTACTCCATTTTCAGAAAACAGGACGGGTTGTGTCCTTTCTTCTTCATCGGAGTTTCCTGAAGGATTTTTCACACCGCAGGAGAGGAAGGATGGAGGAATCGTCATCTATTTCATAATTATACTTTACATGTTTTTGGCCGTGTCCATTGTGTGCGATGACTACTTCCTACCTTCTCTAGAGATCATCAGTGAATGTAAGTGAACATCCTGATCCTTTTCCTTAAAAATAAGCAGCTTGGTGGAGAACGTTCTCTTTAAAAAATCTTCGAAGTGGTTTGGTGGAGAAGATTCTATTTAAAAAAGCTTCAAAGTTAGAGTGCTCTGGAGACAAGACTAAAGAAAGTTTGGATTCTCCAGGCAGATCCATAAAATATTTAATTTGATACAATGTATCAATATTATATTGAAAAAAACATACTCTGATTACACTCTGCACAGGCATTTCCTTGTGCCTAGAGGAAAATCTTAAAACTTCCTCAGTATTAACCAAACTGACGACGTAACTTTGAGGTGAGCGGGAGTATGTCCAGGTTACTAGTAAAAGCAAGAAAAAAACGGGGGAGAGGTGTAGCACACACACCAAACCGAGAACCCAAAACTCTCTCTATATTAAAATATGGTAATTAAGTACCTTAGTCAAGTTTCTGTATTTCCCTCAAAGTAGTGAACAAGTATCAGGGTGAGCTACCGTTTACGTACTAAAGGTATGACAGAGGAGGGAAAGGAAAACCACAGTTACAACAGTCCTATGAAATCGAATCAACCTGTAGTAATGCCCCTGGCTTCACCAGACCACTGAATTCAAGAGACGGCTGAGAGTTCAGCTTTTCCTTGCCAAGAATTAAAAAAAATTGCCCTAGGGAAACTCATCCCTGAACACTGGAAAACATTCTCCAGACCACGAACACTTACAGAAAACATAAGTTGTAGAGCTGCTATTTTTTTTATTGATGATAAATAAGCATTTGTCAGACTTTTTCCATTGTTAGCCATACGACCCCGTTCTTAGTGTGCAGAACTTGATCCAGCGTGAGTTACATTTCAGAAACAGTTGACTTACCAGAACAAAAATCTCATTTCATTCAAGCAAGACACAGGCTCTTACACTGTCCATACGAAGTGAAAATTGGATTTTTAAGATCGCAGCACTGGTTTGAATATAACTAGTATTTCTGGTATGTGAAGACACAGTAGCATGGACTTCCCTGGAAGATAGACAGACTTGACATGGATCATGTAGCAATATCATGCTGGAATCCAAGGAATTTCCCCGCAATTATTACCCATATGAAACAGAGTTAAAGCCTACATACGTATATCTATTTTACATTTTAAGATCATGCCCAAATCTTTTGTATCCATACTTCTATTCTGGTATTTAAACTAATTTCTGCGATAAAGTTAGACATAAATTAGCCCAATAAATGAGGCTGTTTTCAATACATTATTTTACCAATTCCAAAGAAAAGCATTAACTGTATGAAAGTAAGCAAAGTTCATTCTATTAAACTGTAGTAGCTTCTAACATTGCAAACGGATGCAAGTAATGGGTACAGACTACTGAAGTTTGTTTTTTTTTTTTTAAGCAATTATTTTGCTCTATCCTCAGGCCTTGGCCTCTCTCAGGATGTTGCTGGAGCAACTTTTATGGCTGCTGGAAGCTCTGCTCCAGAGCTTGTCACTGCTTTTCTAGGTAAAAGACCTATGTTTTTACTCCTCAGAATCTAGAATTCTTTTCCGTGCATGCCAAAGTGAAACATACCAGAGAGTCATTTTCCTTACAGGAGTCTTTGTGACAAAGGGAGATATCGGCATCAGCACCATCCTTGGATCAGCAATCTATAATCTTCTCGGTATTTCTGCAGCTTGTGGGCTGTTTTCCAGCGTGGTATGTATCAACTTTGATAGTTCTGTTCCTAAGAGCCCAATCGTTATCCTTTCTGATTTGCCAACAAAAGCCAAGAGAGACTTACTATGACAACTGTCAAGTTTATTATTTAGTAGCAAAACCAGCATGTAATCAGTTTTAAGATAACTTGCTATGAAAGTTTTTAAAAACACTAATTTGTTAAATATCATACTTAAGTCATTCCTAAGAATCTTACATTTTTACATAATATAGAAACAACATATTGATGCAGCATTTACAGCACTTAGTGAAGTGTTACAGACAAGTTTAAGAAAAGTAAATGAATCTGTGATCTGCAGGTTTCGAGGCTATCCTGTTGGCCGCTGTTTAGAGACTGTCTGGCATATACAATTAGTGTAGCGGCGGTCCTTGCGATGATATCTGACAACAGAATTTACTGGTAAGAGGATAAGTAGTATTGAATTCATGTTGACCGGAGGTTAGTGAGACAGTGTTTTGAAAAACAAACAAACAAACTAAACCCCAAAACCCAAACTTCAAGTAGCCTGAACTGCCATTCACTAACAGAATTAAACATCATTTTGGCTTTAAAAAATGTAGAAAGTCACAATGCTTGTAAAGATTATTACCTAAACATTCAAACTCTGCATATTTATAAAGTTTGATCTGCATAGGTTTGTCTGTACAGACTTCACAATTTCTATCATGTGTTTTGTCATAGCACTTAAGTCTTCATAGTTTATTCCTTTTGAGCCTTTCCTTTGATAGCATCACTGTTAAGAAAAACATTTGTCTGCTAGAGGCAGATGATGAGGTTTTGATGTTTTAACTCCCCTCCATCAACACTGAAAAGCCCGTTGCCTCAACGAGTCAGTCAGGTCCAGCGCTAAGTCTCTGAGGTTTCTAACTCAAAATAGTACATACTATCCCTCTCTTTAACCATCACATGAAGACGCAATTTCGGAAACATCAGTAAGATATTCAGTCAGTAAGATCCCCTGGAAAACATGCAGCTATGCAATACACAAACAAGATTCTGCAGGGGCGGGGAATTAATCAAACTGGTGAAAGACATGCAGATGCTCATGAACTTCCATGACACTGGCCATACAACTGCAAATAGATGCTTTTGTGTGTTTTCCTTTTGCTACTCATGCAAATTTTCTCTCTCTCTTTCTTCTTACACCAGCCATTTTAATGAGTTAAAGAGTTGTTATTTTTAAATATTACATGTTATGTAAAATCTGTTTTTCGTTCTAGGTATGAAAGTGCATCCTTATTACTGATATATGGGTGTTATATTCTGGTACTATCTTTTGACATTAAAATCAACCAATACCTCATGAAGAAGTTCAGTCCCTGCTGTACGTGTTTGGTAAAAGCTATGGAAAAGAATGCTGAGCAGCAACCACTGGTTGGATGGAGGGAAGAGAGTGGACCTCTAATTAGTCAACAGTCAAGGACCGATAGCGGAATTTTTCAGGATGAGCTGGACAACTCTCAACTATCAACAAGCTTGCATGGGCTTGATGAAATCTCTGAAGGTATAAGTGTTAATACAGTTATCTCGAGCATTCTGCATGCCTGTCTGCCTCAGTTCTAATAAAGAGTAGATTATGAGATATTTTGTTCACAAAAGAACTCCAGCATAGTATTTAAGTAAATAATTATTCTTCCCCAGAACATAACATTAAGCAAAATCAGAGTGGTGGTATTTATATGAAGGTAGTTGCTAGAGGAATGCTAGGATAGTTGCTCGTTTCTGTGATATTAGAACAGCAGACCTCCATCAGTCTTTGCTGTGCACATTTGAAACTTCCCAGCAACATTGCTTGTAAAATGCAGCATCAGCTGAAAGACACACTAGTACTGTATTAATATATACTGTTTTCTTATGACAATGGCAGGTTTATAGCCCAAAATATGCATTATATCAGAAGCAAAGGAATAGCTATGATGTGGCCACAGATCATCAGTTTCCTCTTCACTTAGGCAAAAAACAGCAGTTGACACACTCTTGGTAAACGTTTTGTATAAACCTTTATAGAAAGGTTTCATCCTTTCATCCAACTTCGTTCTCTCCTAGTGACATGGTAATAAAGAATATCTGATTTCAGAGTTTTGTCCAGTGTGATGTAGGTACTGGGTAAGACTACAGCTAGAACTTGAGGAAGTATTTTTTACCTTTTTTCAGTATTCTCGCAAGTAGAAGCCAGTAATACAACTGTATGCTATGGATTCAAACTTAACGCTACAATTTAAAATAGTTACTTTCTCTTCAACAGACTATCCAAGTGTCTTCACCATGCCTGAAGCAGATATTAAGAGAATTTTGTGGGTGTTATCCCTTCCTATTATTACACTACTCTATTTGACTATACCAGATTGCAGAAGACAGTTTTGGCGGAACTGGTTCATGGTGACATTTTTAATTTCAGCAGCATGGATTACTGCAATAACTTATGTTCTTGTATGGATGATAACAATAGCAGGTAGGTACCTAAAATGCTGCTGCTATACAGAATCACTGAAAAAAACCAGTTTTCTCCCTGTGAAGAGTTTTCCTTTCCACAATTAACAGTCAGTTTAGCAACACATACTTTGCTGTAAAAAAAAAAAAAACCCAACAAAAACTTATGTTTGACTGCTTATTTTGCCACCTTCTTCCATCCAATGAAAACCAGAGTTTAGCTGTTTCAGACTGCCTACCATCACATGAATGAGAATTTGCTTACATAGCTACAAAAACCAGCCTATATTCAAAGAGAGACAGTTTCATTAAACTGCTTCATGAAGTTAAACAATTAGATACACAGCAATAAACATGTCAAGCTGAAGTCTGACAAACATGGAATCCACCAAGACTAGAATTAAAGGTTCAGGATTCTGTAAAAGATCCATTATTTCTATGCCTGTATTTTTCCTGAACACTATAGTAAGAGATTTGGCATTAACTGCCAAAAAGACCTCGCAAATTTTTGTACTATTTTATTTCAACTATAGCATCGTGTTCATTAAACATACTTGGTGTGTGTATGTATACCTCTTAAAAATCTGCATCATAAAGTGAAGCAGTAAAAGAATTGCATTTATGTGAGAGAAGGGATAGGAACTTGTGTGTAAAAACACTCTTAAAAGTATCTTAAGGTATCAAAGTTGTCTCCTCCTTTCACTGTTTCTCCAGTCAGTGTGAGAAAAACCCAGTTTTTAATTTTAGGAACAAGCAGAAAACAAATCTCTAAACAAGAAAGAAATGTTACAAAGCTTGCTATTTCCACATTATAGCTCAGTAATCCTACTCAAGCATTCTGCTAATTCAGCATCCTAAACTTGTTTTCAACTTAAGTTCAATGAATAACTCCTTGTTCAGTGAAGAAACAAACCTACACATTCAGTAAACCTTTGAGAAATCACTAGTAGATCATTGGATATAACACCCACCAGGTTCACTCCTTGGTCAAATAATTTTCTACTTGTATCTAAAGAGCAAGGGTTTACTGTCTGAATGCTAGAAGCCTTGGAAACAAGATTCAAATTAAGGTTATTGCTGGTCTAATAGACAAAGCACTAATTCATATGAAAGCAGGTACACTGGAGATTCAAATAGTGTATTAGTGTTAGTCCACTTTGAAGAGTCATCACAAGCATTATTGGGGTCTTTGGCCCACTACTTCTAGGTCAAATATGTTCTATTTACATGTTAAAATGCTAAAAATTACACACACATTATACTAAAGTCCAGGTTCTCTCATGAAGGGTCACTCAAAGATTCTACTGTTGCATAAACAGCAATGGGGTTTAGCTGGAGACTACATTTTGATGGTCAAGAACAAAGTACACCTTTTTGTTGCTAGCAAAGGAAATTTGACTACTTACAGCAAGTGATTGCTACTGATACAGAAAATTAACTAAAGGCTAGAAAAATAAGACCATTCTCTCCTTATGGTCTGTTGCCAGAAAAAAAACCCCTACACATTAAATAGAAGATAACTGTATCTAATAAAAGGAAAAAATAGATTCACCTGAGTTTAGATTCTATCTTATAACCTTCAGAGGGCTAGAAACTGTTGGGTACATAAAGCTGGCTTGTTTATATTTCACCTTGGTTTGTTTGGCATGAACCATTACTTTTCCAGCCTGGATGGTTTGTAAAAGCTGATCTTGTTGGTCCCTCATCCTACAAATCTCTTACATTAGGACTGATGAAAGCATAAATACCAGTACAAATTCTGCAACAGGATCATGTTGCAGAACTGAAACACATAAAGTTTCAAACATAAATTTACTGGGCTGATCTAGACTAAGCTGGTATGTACTAGGCAAGCATTGCTGACCTAGCTTACAGAGTACTGCCTCTTATGTTAAGAAAACTGTTATTAGTGTCCAACTATTACAAGTAAGAATTCAGATTTCAACAGTAAAAATTAAGATACTTTTTAGTGAACAAACAAGTTTAAGAAAAATTACTTAATAGTTTGACTAGAGGTGTCAAATATTTCAGCATATTGATGCCTGTGAATGGTACAATTGCTAAAGCAGTTCCGAAGATCAGAATCCCTGTATTTTAAGTGAGAAATTAATATGCTTGCAGGACACATGGGGCTAAAAAAAGAAGTGTGGAAAAATAAGCTGCTGTTTTAGTAACAGTCTAAAAACTTTTCTTAATTTAAACCAGTATTTACCTAAAGAAACTCACACTTCTAAAGGATTAATTGTACTTACAACTCATATAAAAATCCTGCATTTTGATTCTTCTGAATCCAACAAAATAACTTTCTAATTGAAGTGAAATGGTAAAGCTGTGGACTTGAGACAGTATTGTAGCAATGATCTTAATGACCCTCTTCCCCAAGGAAATTAATGTGCTTTTTTTCCCTCCCTCTTTAAAGAGTGGGTGATTTAAAAAGGTATTGCTTCATGAGACTTTTGAGCACTAACTATGAGATGCCCAAAAACAGAAGACTCTCATATTTTCCGGG